GCAATTGCTAAAATTTTCAACAAGAAGACAGGGCGAAGGCGAGCCTTCTTGCCCTGACAGGACACTTGCAGCTGGACAATGGATTCCTTGGGGGCAGTGGAAGATTGTGTGCCTGTCTGTATTGTCCATTGAGGATGTAGAAGATGTGTACGTAAATGGATTTATGATAACAGGATTTCTGCTTTTTGGAGTTGGTGGTTACCTGGCATATTGACAAATGTGGAAAATGTCGACAGCTGTTCTGGCCATTGTAAGGGTGCCTGGCATGAAGGAATGAGCCGAGCGATAAGCACTCAGACTCAGATGCTGTGTGAGCTGAGCCGTAAGCTGGAGACGATTTCTGAGAATCGCAGGCCACTTATGGTTCCTGAAATTTGATGGCAGGAAGGAATCGACCTTGGAGAAGCTATAAGCTTGGCCCGGTGCTATTGACCACAAAACATAGCAGTTAATGAAGACGTACCAGTAGAACTATAAGACAGACAGAAATTAAGCAGAGTCGGCCTGATCCAAAATAATTATTGTTATCTGAATCTGGCTCTGCCGCTTGGCCTTGAATTGGACAACTATCTCAAACTCTCCTGGATATTATGTGAACAAGAAGCTCTGCTCTGTGTCATCTGTGTCAGAGTTGAGCCAGCTGGTAGACACTGCACCATCTCTTATCAGGATTATGGAACTATCTGGCAGTGTCCACAGACAACTCACTGCCTTTGTCAGCCTCCTCATACATAAATGTATTAAATTATTAAATGATGTCATCAGTATGTTGCTGTTTCCCGTCTAGGACACAATGCGAGATATGATTTTTCTTTTTAATACCTCTCCTCCCCTCATGGTTCTCTTTTTCTTATTTAAACAAAAAAAGGCAGTGCCTCCCGAAGGCCACGGCCTCAGACACCTCCGTCTCCCCATGTCTGTTTATTTGTTTTCTTGGACGGACTGTTCTGAAATGTAATTTTGTTGTGCTTCGGTGCGATGACAATAAAGATGATTCTGATTATTCACATTTGTGATCACAGAAAGCATTTGAAATCAGTATTTTCCCTTATAATAAGCCTTGTTTAAAGCATGTTCTGCTTAAAGTACTAAATGTTTACTTTAATTTCTGTGTTGCCATAGGAGTAAATTACTATGAATGTGGTGGTATAATGTTAACTTTTGAAGCTAACCTATTGCTGTGTTGGTACATTTAGAAGCATATATTTTCATGCATTTAATTATTAGCTGAAAAGGGTCGCCTGCTGCAAGAACAGCTGGTGAAGTTTCTTTTACTGTTTGAATCCCTGCATGATCCCAAATTAAAACTAAACTCTTCTTGTGCTTTCTTCAGCATTTGAACTTACTTCTGTGATGTTGAGGAAGTTTGGATCCCCGAGTGTGGTTCTCTTTGCATATGCAAAACGAAATGCCTCCACAATGCGATGGTAGGTTAGGATCTTATTCTCTGTACTTGCCACACTATCGGTACTGAAATTATACCCTGAAAAACAAAACTAATT